TTAGATCCTGCCCATCCAGTTCTTGTTCATTATTTGACAACTATTAACCCAGATGTTCAAGTAGGGGCTTTGTTGCCAAAAGGGGCAGAAGGTAGCTTGAAGGTTGTTAAAGTTTCCAAGAAACCATAGAATCTTGAATAACCTAAACTAGTTCTAGTATAAATCGAGAAGGAGGTAACCAAACCGGTTCAAGCAACTGTTGAAAAAGAAATTCAAAAGGAGGTAGTTCTTTCGAATACGAGTATTCTAAAATGAACCAAGAAGTTTGCTCTATCATCCTCGACATTGTCTTGAACCACCAATTATTGAAGAAGTTTCTGGTGAACCATTGTCTTCACCAAAAGAAGGATCTGTTTCGAAAATAAAGAAAATCCGCAAACCCCAGCTTAATATAAGGGGTGTGCGTATTCGTGATGTTCCAGTTTGAATCTCACCAGCATCAAAGAAACATATAGCTCATGATGTTGTCAAAAAGATCAAAAAGAAGAAGAAGCAGCTGGCTGATCCACTTGACAAGGTTATCATTGAAACTGTCTTCAAAATTGGAAGCGATAGATCTATGATTCATCATGATAGTGGCTTGGGCTTTGAGACACCTCAAAGGGACTCTCCAGTTAAGTCGACATTCGAGGAGACTGGAGGTCTTGGTTGCATTGTAAACGTATCTCATATGGATACAACAACTAATTTGGGTGAATCTCCAACTACTACCATCCTTGAGAAGGTAGTGGTCATACGACCTGAGGTTTCGATGACTGAGTCTGTTTCAATGGAGGTTCAAACCTCAGGCATCACTGTGCACGTATTTGATACGGACACAAATGTCAAGAAGGGTAAGGGATGACGCATAACGAAGCTCAAGGTACATCTTCTGTTGAAACCTTTTTTATTCCTACCACACTCATTCTATCTTCTACCATTGAAAATACCGTTATCGACACTTCAAATTCTTTATCACCATTCTATTCTCCTATCCCATCTTCATTACCTGTTTCTACCTATTCACCATCATGCTTTAACCCATTACATCACTTTTCTCTTCCCAATCTGCTGAAGGGGAAAAGTCGATATGTTCCATAAGATGAACAAGACGATGATGATTATGTGATAGTCTCCTTTGTATAGTTTCAGTTTAACCCTAAAGAAGATAACATTCCTGATCGCATGCTTATGTCAAGGGAATGGTTTAAAATTCTTAATTATAAGCTGAACTCATTGTTACAAATTCAAGAAGATACAAGGCGTAGAAATTCAGTGTATGTGATTGAGGTGGATGTTATGCTTAAGTTACAAGAGCATCGCTTAAAGATGGTTATGGAGACGATTGATTAGAAACATTAAGAACGTTTAAAGCTTCGTGGTAAAAATTTCCAATATGAGGTGACTAATCCTTGTGACATTCCAAAAGAACGTCATGTCATTTTTGTTGAGGAAGTTAAGAAGGTGGAAAAGTCTGACAATTTCAAAGTGGCAGAACTCAAGTCCGAGATGTCGAAGGAGGTGGCAAAGAGAGAACATAAATATTTGCGTCTTCATAGCAAGGTGGATGTTCTTACTAATTCCATAAAGAAGCTCGTGGAGTATCATACCTTGTTTTCTAACAAACTCGAAGCCAAGACAGAAAAAAATTCGAAAGTATTTGAAAAGCTGGAAGAGTTTTAGGGCAGTATAAAGTAATCCTTGTCAAAGCTTGATCTGTCTCAACAATATGCAGTCTCTCAGGATTCGATTTTGAAGATGATTTCTTCTCTTGAATCGAATCTCAAAGTAGAACTTGCTCCTATTCTCCAGTTAGTACATTTAATGCTAACGAATGCCCCACCTATAAAACAAGTGGTGTAAGGGGGAGATAAGGAGGTTGGCTTTTCGAAGGATCCTGATCAAGGTAATGTGGTTGGGAATGTGATATCAACTCAACTTTCGACATCACTTCCTGTTTCTCTATCAACCACTTCTAGAACAACTACTACAAGACCAATAACCAAAGGTGTTGTTATTAGAGAAACTGTTGGGGGATCGAAGTCAAGTTCAAAGCCACTACCTTCTAAGGACAATAAAGGTGACAAAGGGAACAGTATTGAGAAAGTGATTTCTAAAGAAGAAAATAAAAAAAATGTGGAGAAGGAAATGGAGAAACAAAGATAAATAAACAACATACTGAGACAAAGGCAAAGTGATCCACCTGGATTAAACAAATGTGATCCGAGCAAACATTGTTGTTACGAGAAAATTGAGCAAGTAGTCTCTTCAAAAAAGATGCATGATTTCAGAATGTTTCCAAAGAAAAGTTATGAGATCGAGAATATTGATTTCAATGAGCTGGATTTTCCAATTAATCACATGATGTTCATCTCAGCTCAATATCAGTTGGTTGATAGGTTATCATGTTGTGTTGGGAAAGAAGGAGGAAGAAGTATGGTCTTAAGTCAAGATTGTTAAGGTGTTAAACATTACTAGAGAAATATTGTTTGAGGGCTTGTTACAAAATTTTCGATACCACGTGGTCAGAGAAAACAATGTTGCTTGTGACTTCTCTATGGCTGATTTTCCTCTTATGAACCTAAACGATCTTATCATCGTAACGAAGTTTCTTAGCTCCGTTGATGTGTCGAAGCTCCAGGAAAGCAACAAGGATGATTTTCAGATTAGATTTACACATATCAAAGATTTCATAGACAATTATTATGATTGCTTAGTAGTGACAGACATCGAGTTTGCTATGGCGATTAATAGAACTTCGAAGGTTCCTCAGTCGATGCTTAAAAGGAAAGTTAGTCTCCAGGACTATGATGATGGGGAGATTGTTCACAAACCTTTGGGAGTTATCTTTAATGGGAAGAACAAGGAAAATAAGATGAAAAAGTTTCTACTTCTCAGTATACCAGCTTGTTAGTTCATCTTGGAAATTACAAGAAGAATACTATCGAGGATAATGGAGAACTCCGAAAGATTGTCATTTGGTATACGGAGGATCGCCGAGTACTTCACCAGGTCATGAAGATGATGATGACATAGATTCGACACTTCTTACTAAGAGGGAGATTGTAGAGTTCAAAGTATGTAGTGAGGTGTCGAAGTACAGTTAGGCCTGGTTAGTGTCGAAGTCGTTGTATTGTATTTCGAATGTATATATTACACAAGACATTGTTAGAGGTCGAAGTTATCATGTCTAGCCCTTATGTATTTTTTGTGTGTGTATGCTACTCCCTATAAATAGGTGTATGTATAGGAGTAGAGAGTAACTTTTGGTGAGCGTGAGCACTTTACTCTTCTGTACTCCTATATTTTGACAGACATAATCAAAGAGCCAAACAGATTCTATTAACATCTATGTTCTTATTGCATTTAGTTATTGATTTTGTTCTCTTAATACCCGATTCAAACACACTACATAGATTCACACTATGAATCTAAACTGTAAATAATTCAGTTTTAATAGTCACAATGTGAATCTTAATTAGTATTTCAACTCTTTGATCATTTATAAATCAAGTAAAATTTACATATGTTATAAATTAGTTTTGTAAAATCAGCAAATGAATTTATTCACATATTGAAATTGAAACGTATATAATTTAGTTTTAAAAATTCACAATGTGAATCTGAGTTACTATTATTCACACTGTGAATCTTAGTAGATTTTTACTATGAATTTGAATTGAAATTTTGATATTTTTTAAACATCAATGTGAATCAAAGTTTAAAGAGTACCAAAAAATATGAATTTTGATATATTTATTATTGTTTCGATAAAAAATAGACCTTAAACTTTAAAAAAAATGAAGTTGGCTTTTTTTTTTTTTGTAAAAAAAAGTTCGTAGAAATTTATATAAATATAGATCTCTATAGAAAGATGACGAAAAATTATGAGCAACGATATATTTGGTTTTTTAGATAAGAAAACATGACCTAAAAAAAATTAAACTAAAAAAAGTGATTTCTTTATAATTTGGTAGATTTGCATCCATTGTAAAGTATATAACTCTTCGTTTTGCCATTGATGACTTTAAATTTCGACAATTTGGATTGGTTAATTGATTCTTTGATTAATAATCCTTTTCCTATTGAAGTTATATATATATATATATATATATATATATATATATATATATATATATATATATATATATATATACACACACACACACACACCCACCCACCTTTAAGGGTATATAAGTTTGGGTACCGAAACTCACTATAATACGTTGTTTTGTTTGAAATATTCAATCTTAAACTTCAACCTTTAACTTTATTTACTTTCAAGATTTTTGAATTTTCGTTATCATCTTCCTCTTACATCATATTTTTTTCCGAACACCTATTAGACAATATATATTAAGTTGAAAATGAAAATTATGTAAGAGAGAGATAAACGTGAAATTTATAAAAATCTTGGAAGTAAATCAGATTAAGAGTTGAATTATAAGAATATTTGACAATTATAGTGTATATATGATACAAAACGATGTAATATTGTAAATTTGTGTATCTAAGTTTATATATATTAAGGGTATATTCATTTTCATATATATATATATATATATATATATATATATATATATATATATATATATATATATATATATATATATATATATATATATATATATATATATAACTGGAAAAGAAAATAGAAATTGTCAGAAAAATCTCAATATTTTCAAAAAAATTTAACTTTAATGCAAAAAAAAAAAAATCGAACAGAAAAGTCGGGATTATTTCATTTTGGCTCAAATTAACAAAAAAAATCATTTTTTATTTTTTAATAGGAAATAACATATTATCGTTTAAAATCAAATAATTATGATTTTTCTTTTAGAAAAATAATACAAAGTAAAATGTTTCGTAATATATTGTGATTTTTTATAATAGTTTTCAAAGGAAAATCTAATAAGTTGTTAAAAATATAATAAAGTACTTGTGTTTTTTTTTTTTATCATTTATTGTAAATTAGCACTATATAAGTAGTCCCATGGTTCACTTTGAAATCCGAACTAGCAACGGAAACTTAAACATTGCTCTGATATCGATATTCTAATTTCAAAAGTCAACCCTTAAATGGAGGCTCATCCTTCTTTGCTGATTCTTCTTCTTCTTTCTTGTTTTGCGACTGCATCTTATGCCGAGCATAATGACCATACTGAGCACAATGTCCACCTCTCCGCACTTAACCAGTCCCTCATCGTTTCCACTTCGTCTACACCAGGCCAAGGTTAATTCTGTCATCTCTCTCTTGAATTCCAAACTTCCAATTCATGCCACATAACAAACCCGATCGTGTGTCTCATGACACAATCTTTAATCTCGTTTTCAAGAAATTATGTAAATTCAGAGTTTTAAGAATTTTGGAAACTCTTGTTTTACTTAATCTCGAGAATATTTTTACTCAATATTTGACCTCGATCTTCATTAATTATTCAGGTTTAGTAGTTTTAAGTATTTTGTTACAACAAGCTCCTTTTTATTTTCTTTAAAAGAAGAGGTGAAAATTAAACAATCATTTGTTGAACGTTCATAAGAATCGTTGTATCCTGAGAAACTTCGTATAACACAATATTCGACTCAGGTTTTAGTATTTTTTACAAGTTTGTTTTCAACTTGCATCAAAGCTAGTTCAATATATTATGGTTAACACCCAAATGAAATAGTGAAGCTAACCGATTAGAACTTTTTTTATAGTCTTGAAGGCAGGAGTAGATCAAGTGACAATCACATGGTCATACAACCAGAGCTTCCCGGCGGGGACAGACACCAACTACACCACCGTGGAAGCCATGCTATGCTATGCTCCGGTGAGCCAGACTGGCAGGGATGACCGGAAAACTGATGACAATCTTGATAACGACAAGACCTGCCCGTTAGTCATCACAGAAGCGCCATACAAACGCTCAAACAACTCATTTGTATGGACTATTCCTAGAGATACCCCTACAGCTACTTATTTTGTTAGGGTGTATGCCGTATACAACGAACATGAGAAAGGCTATGGCGAGAGTACAGATGCTCTCAAAACCACCAGCTTGTTTCAGGTTGATGGAATTGTTAGCGAGGAAAAGGTGTCGGGAGCATGGTCTATGGTTGGGAATTCTTTCGGCTATGGCTATGCATGGCTTCTTATGTTATTTCTTTTGTACATTTGATTCGACAAAATCGATCGATCATGTTGTGTGAACTTTGATTTGGTATATCCATTTATGATGTTAATAATGCATTTATATCGAAACTTGTTTCGATATCTGTCATGATTGTAGACGTATATATGTTGAATTTTACATCTACAATTTGTGTGTTAGAGAGGATTTCCCCATTGATCTCTCTAGCGTTATTCACTATTGCTTTTTAATATTAATAAAAATTTGAGTATCTTATCTCTCCATTGTGTCTTTTATTATGTTTTTGACGTTGTTGACATTTTTAGACTTTCGTATACTTATGTAAAACATCTTTTGGATATGAAGTGAACAAATCGTAGATTTTTGATGGCTAGTAAGCATAGCCCTAGAAAAGTTGAAAACACCTCTAAGATTCAAAAATATCTCTATATTAATAAAAGAGTAGTTGTTTTGTTGTGTGTCATTATATTAGACCTCTTAATTAATATGTTGACACTTATCAATCTATTAATTATCTATTTTAAACTCTTAATTAATATGTTGATACTTATCAATCTATTAATTATCTATTTTAAATTTACTAGAAATCATCATTAATGTGATGCTATTTGTCAATGTATTTATTCTTTATTTTAAATTTAAATTTTAAATTTATTTTATTGTTTTCATTAATTCACAAATAAAAAATGTCTAATATATGTTAAAAATTAATTTTACATATTTATTTGAATCAACGATTATAATTTCATATAACTAATAAAAACATCTCCTAATTAATAATTTATTTAAAATAATTGATTAATAATTTTAAATTTGTACTATAAAAGTTTAATTAATTTTATAACCGTAGTTCTCACGGGTTATAAACTTAAACTAGTACATATTATACAAAAAATATTTCCAAAGTTGACCTTAAAATCACGAATCTCCTGGAAAGCATTTAAATTGAAATGAATTGGAAAGAAAACATACGAGTTTATATATCTTATTTTGAGATTAACATATAAAATATATAGTAAAAATATGATGGATGAAAAAAATTTGAGCAATTGGGATGCGATCATGGCCGAATTCTCGCATCAAACTCATAGTAATCACGTTATATTTTGGTTCTTTCTAACTTCAAAAGAAGAATTTGCCCATGAGAAAGACTTTTGCAAAATATTGGTTAGCTAGAGTTGCAATTGAGGTTACGAAATTTCAACAATTTGAGATAAATTAATTTATGCTTTAAACTTTAAATTTATAATTGTATGTTTTTTTTTTTTTTTTTTTTTTTGAAACGACAATTCTAACCTACTTCTAAACTAGACCTTAAATCCACCTATATCCACGACGGGACTTGAACCCTCAACCTCAAGGAGGAAGGGCAACATCGGATACCGCTGGGCTAGAAGCCCTTTAGTTTATAATTGTATGTACTTGGAACTAATTGTTATGTGGTATGCGTTAAACTTTAAATTTAGTCATATAGCTTAAATTTAAGAGTTTAGGTATGTGTTAGGGCATCGGTAAGTTTAATGGATTGTCACATCATTCATTAAACATCAATAAAACACCATCCACAACCCATTAAATACCTGTTCAATCATAATCACCATTTTATTCTTTCTATGAATCATTCGGTGATCATTCATCTTTTTCATTCAACTCTACTCCATCTCATCACCCATACTCCATTCAACTCTTATTCAATCCTAATCATCACCCTAATTAACTCTTATACTACTTATATTGTGGATGCTATTAGTTAACTTTATTCAACTCTTACTCTACTTGCATTGTGGATGCTTTTAATTACTTAGTTTCGTAAATAGTGTTTCTAAGCATTATAATAAAACCCACATTATAAATCAATTTGATACAAATTATAAAGAATGTTACGTGGTAGTTAGTAGCAATTATTCTGCATAATTTGAGAAGTGCTGATATGGCAAGAAATTAGAAGGGAATATGGAAATTATGTTGTAATGGGGATCAGGCCTTAGTGCTTAGGGTATAGCTACATTGGGCCCAAACCCAACTGAGAAACTGGAAGAGCAAGAGCCAGGCCTCAAGAAAGAGTTTGGGCATTGGGAATGGATAGCGCCGTGAGTCCGTGACTGGTTCTGCTATTTTGCTATCGGACCAGTGACTAGACGTGCCCAAAAAAACTGGTTCACAAACCGAACCGGTCAGTGAATCGGAAACCGGTTTACCACCGAACCGGTTCAGCCTTGAACCGAACCCCCTAAGAACCGAACCGCCGGACCGGACCAATTCGCTATTTTGATCGTTATGAGCAGTTTCGAACCGGTTTAATAAGAACCGGTTTTTTTATCCGGTTTTGAACCGGTGTTGAACCGATTTTTTGATCCGGTTTTGAACTTATTAGCCCAAAAGCAAAAAAAAAAAAAACAAAAAACAAAAAATAGTCCAAATTTTTTTTTTAAAAAAAAATTAAAAAAAAAAAATAGAAAAGCTTATTTGCGTCGAACCGGTTTTGAACCAGTTTTTGCTGAACCGGTTTCTATTAAACCAAACCGGTTTACATATGTTCGGATATTTTTGGGACTGAACCGGTTTGGAACCGAACCGGTTTGAGTGTGAACCGGTTTTGACTACTTTGACCGGAACCAAATCGGTTTTCTGAACCGGTCCGGTTCAGAAAAAAAACCGGTTTTTGCATGCCTACCGGTGACAATGAATTGGTCAAAAGGTCTGGCCTTTGGTACGGCTAATAAACTTAGTACCTTTTTTTTAATTTAAATTAAAACTAGAGAGAATTTAAACATTAAAATATTATATTTATCCATTTTAATTTTTAAACATCATAATTACTTTTTACAAACTTCAAAATATTAAATTTACCAAAATTCTTATTTTTAGGGTGTGTTCGGTAAAATAAGCTGGTAGCGGGTAGCTTGTAACAGGTAGCGTGTAGCTTGTAACATTTTGTTAAATACTACATGAAGTAGCGTTTGGATTTGGGACATTTTTATTAAACTAAACGCTAGAAGTTTGTAGTGTCAAATGAGGTTTTCTGTTTTAAACGGAGCGTTTTGTCAAACGCTAGAAGCTAGAAGGTCTCAAACACTCCGAAACGTTCTATGCCGAACACACCCTTTAATATTTTTTTAAACATTTAATAATCATTTTGAAATATTTTTTTTTATCAATTGCCTATTATACCCTTAATAATTAATATAAATAAAAGTTTAAAATATCATAATTCAACAAACATTTAATCAAATCTAGGAGGCATAATGTCACACCCCAAAACCGGAACGGCAGAAATGTTCAGGGGTGGAGGACGTCATATTTAGTATCACAAGACATGCATTATAATAATCAAAGTAATAAACAACCATTTCATTAGAAAGAAAGTGTTTACAATGTGTGTGTTCACAAAACATAGAATACATATGCAAATAACAAAATAAGACATGAAGCTACACTGTTCCATCTTCTAAATTCCCAGCGCGAGTACCTGTCTACTAGTTTCCTGAGAATACAAGTTATTTGAAAGAGTTGGTCAGCAATTGAGCTAGTGAGTTCATAAGATTTTAGTGATGTAAGTAAGTTGTAGAAAGCTTAGTAAGTTTGTAAATTTTGTTTAGAAAAGTTCGCCTATTTCTCTAGAAAATCCTATATTTCCTACTTTTGATGAAAGATAAGTAAAAATGACTCTACAATCCTTTATATGAGTACTAAATAGATACAAGTTATATAAAACTCACAGTAAACAAACAATTAGCTGTGTGTATCTTCCCTAAACCCACAACCAAACAAGGAACACGAAATGAACCGGATGGAACACATCCCATTGGTTGTTAGATCATCATTGTATATAACCCTGGTGTATTCACTTGGTACTCACGGAGTTAATTGCAATAGTTCCTTTATATTTGATGAAAAGATCCTTTAAGAAAACGCTTATTTCTTATATTAAAAATAGTAACCATAGTGGTTCCTTTTATAATCTCTTGGGTTATACTAGCTATATATAATCTAATATCGAATAGATAGTTAATTGTGTGAATCTGCCCTAAGCCCTCAACCAAACAAGGAACAAGAAATGAGGCGGAAGACACACATCCAACTATCTATCGGGTATTAATTATATATAACCCTGATGTATAAACTAATGTATTATAGAATTAATCACCTAACGTCCTTTAAGTTATATTGGTTTAATAAAATGGATTAAACCCTTTACTGGTAAGTTTCTAGTATTGTATACCAAAAGTTCTTATTTGAAAAGTATGTTTTGTACTAGAAAAACTGTGCATTGAATTAATGTCCTATGACCTGACCCATACCTGGTACCCCTTATGATGACTTAGTGTATACGGAACATATATATAACTAAGATCGAATGGATAATAGGCTGGGTGAATCTGCTCTAGGCCCACAACCAAACAAGGAACAGGAAATGAAGCGGAAAGCACACATCCTATTACCGATCGGATCCTATTAATATATATCCCTTGCTGTACACATTAAGGAATCATAAGGTTAGCATTATATGTCCCTTTCTACTGAATGTACTAGACCCGACTGTTCTGTTTTTCGTTTTGAAAAGATGTAAGTTTTCCCTAGTTTATAACTATCTTGACTCGAAAATAGTTTGCATTACCTTTCAAGTGGAACTGTCACTTTATGAAAGTAATGGGAAAAATATAAGTACTCGGTTGTCTTTTGAATTGACATCCTGGCATACTGATTTCCTTAAAATGTGTTTGTTTTATTAAGGTCATAATGTGAAGGCTAGTACCCATACTATATGCTTTCCCTGTCAAGAGATTCTGGGAACCAAACGCGACTTCAACAAACCAGTTGCTAGGCCGTGTAATCCACATTAAAGGTATGTGATCATGTATACCTAATTTAACTATCACCTTTTGTTTAGAACAATGAGTTAGTGATTCATTGGTATAATTAGATCCTGTAGTTGTTCCATGCTATATCATCTTAATATGTTCGTTCTATTATAGTATCTTAGTATGTTCTTTCTGTTATAGTATCTTTGTATGAATTGAACCCCAAAACTATAACCCTTATAGTTTACTAGTATTTTACTTGAACTGTTATTGAAAAGACTCATTTATCTACTAAGTTATGCTAGTACTTAAAAAACGAAGTTTTGTTAAACTATAAAGTAACATAACTTTAAAAGAGTTTTTGAAATGTTTTGATCACTTATAAAAGACATAAGCAATCTCTTG